AAATGCACGAGATATATGGGAACAGTGGGACCGATGCAGAGGTGGGTGCTGCTATTGATCTCGCACCCGTCCCGAGCGCAGAGACTCAAAGTGCTCCCGTAGAAGCAAAGCCAGCGGGTGGGCAGCGCGTCGTGAAAGAGTCGTTGGTATAACAGAGAGCAGCTCCCGTTTCCTGGCATCTGAAAAGACTCTGTTTGTATCTCCTCTTCAAGAAACCTTCCGTGTTCAGATCGGTAGGTCTTAGATGTTGAGCTAATTTCAGATGGTTCAAGCTGACACCTTCATTTCTGAGCAGGGTCTCCTCGTGATCCTTTTTTGTAGCTCACTGCACTCGCAAAGAGTTGGATATTTTTCTTATGCGATTGACATGTGAAATCTCTCTATTGCTGGTGAGAAACATCTTAGTTTTGAAATGATCTAATCACGGTAACGACGTTTTTCAGACATTAACAAACGAGTACGGCTGTCCTTTTACTTCAGGTAATTGTTCATTAATGCTATTTCACAATTTCTTGCATATTACTCCCCCAGAGGGCAGCGGGTGAAAGATGAGCCAAGTGAAATAACATCGAGAACAATTACAGAAAGGTTTATGTGAACAAAAAAATCTCCAAAGTCTTAAAGTCGCACCTTTCCTTGGGATCTTTTAATAAGCTCTATGGATTTATTTTTGTTACATACGAAGAAAGTGCAATGATGTCTTAAACATTTGTTTGCATCACCCAAACAAAGCATCCGCAGATATGTTCTCAGGGTTAAATATCAGATGTTAAAGGTCTCAGAACGCGCATCGAAATCATAAATCATTCAGGTCTCCACGGTTTGAATGTAAATTCCATTTCTATTCATGCTCCTGTTTTTCCCGTTCCATCCAGATTTTGTGGCAGGAAAGCAATGGGCAGGGGTGGTCTCCTCTGGGAATTCCCTGTGACAAAACCACTTTGAGCCCCACAGAAAGCAGAAATTAGTGTTAGTTAACGAGACGCATCTCTGGGGTCTGGGGAACAGTCTTCGCATTGAGTTGCTCCAATGGGGCCCCATAAGTCTTGAGATCAAAACAACCACGAACCAAAACCTCTTCCACTTAAAACAAGGGCTGCTGCGTGACGCCGAAGGGTCTGTCTTTTCTTTTTTTTTTTTTTTTTTCCTTTTTCTTTTCTGTTTTTTATTATTATTATTATTAATTATTATTATTATTATTATTATTCTTTCTTCTTCCTCGGGCTGGTTTTGGCTCCCAGCCGTTGCGGATGCCCTGTGGCACCCCATAGAGCTGGGTGGGTCCCCATGCGTTCGGCCGGGCGCTTTCCAGCCCGGGTTGAGGTTCACAATGAATGCTGCTTCTATGTACGTGTCGTCGGTGACGGGAAAATGCCCAAGAGCAGAGTTTGTGTGAGCTAAAGCCATTTTTCTTTGTACATTTCTTAAAATAAACAACCGTGAACGGTCTCTTATTGCAATACCAAACGCGTTGGTGTGTGTTAGGGAAGGAAGTGCTTTCCATACCACTGGGAGGGGGAAATCACCTGCCCAGCTACCAACACCCCTCCCTCTGCTGGGGGTCCAGAACCTCCTGGATGGGTCTGGACCCCAATAGGGCACTGTCCAGAACCCCTGGGTTGAAACTCCTAGAGCTGCTCATGGATGGAACCATGGGCTGCTGGTTGCCTCCTGCCAGCCCCATAGGAGCTATAGGAGATGGAGCTGTTGGTTCAGCCAAAGAGAAGGGAGATCTGGGGACCTCTGGACATGCCTGGACCTCAATATGGCGCTGCCCAACACCTCTGGGCTGAAATCCCCCCCAGAACTCCCAGAGCAGCACATGCATGGGACCATGGTTCTGCTGGGTGTCTCCTCCTAACTCTATAGGGGCTACAGGAGATGCTGCCATGAGTCCAGCCACAGAGAAGGGTTGGTGAATTGAAGGTGTAGACTGCCTTGAGTTGCCCCATCTGTGGGTGGAGTTGAACCTGCCCCACTGGAGTTGAACCTGCCCCACTGGCTCCATGGCAGCAGCTCAGCATCACAGGGAGGAGGTGAAGGATGTTCCTGCATCTGTGCGTGGTGAAGGCTGAGCCACCCCCAGGACCTACCGAGGTCCCCATGGGACATGGCATGGCCTCAGTGCTGTTTTCACTTTGCTGGAACAGCTCATGCAGAGGCCAGTGTAATCCAAGCAGGGCCCCCACGCAGGCAGAGGGCTGCAGGGAGGGCTGGCACGAGCCAGCATCCCTCTCCCCACACAGTGACGGGGAGGACAGCAGTGAAATCCAAGCCACCATGAATAGGAATGGGCTGGGGAAGGATGCAGCTGCCTAGCAGCGGCTCTGCACTGCTCACAGCACAGCTTGTCCCACCCTGGGGGCATCTCTACTTCTTCTGTCTTTCTGGGACACCGTGGCCAGGCTGTGTTTTTGCATCAAATGCTGCACTGCTCTGCAGGGAGGAGGCACCTCTCCCATCATCTCTTTCCCTCCTGAGGCCACAGTTTCTCAGGAAACCTTTATTTCTGCTCCCTTGAACACAGGCTGCCTCCCAGCAGCCCCGGATACTCAGAAACAGCACAAAGGAAACAACCTGCAGGAGGTGAGGGTTTGGGGAGGCCCCCAGGAGGCAAAGCTGGGCTCTGGGGACCAGCCCGGCTGGCAAAAGTACCCCAAGGTGCTTTTTGCAGGGAGTTACAGCCCAGTGCTCACTCGCAGAGCATTGCACTTGGAGATTCACTGTGGCACAGTGATGGGGAACCACAGATCTGAGTCAGTGCCAAGGGATGGGGCACAGCCCTGGGGTGCAATGGTAGAACCATTAAAGTAAAAAAAAAGCCTCCAAGACCATCAAGCCCAATCACCAACCCATCCCCACCACGTACACTCATAGAACAATAAAGTCACAAAATCTTTTAGACTGAAAAGACTTCTGAAATCACCAAGTCCAAGCATCAACCATCTCCACCATGCCCACTATGTTCCCAAATAGAATTGCAGAATTGTGAAGGTTGGAAAAGACCTCCAAGACTTCCAAGTCCAACCCCAGCCCATCCCCACCGTGCCCAATTATAGAATCATTCGGGATGGAAAAGACAGTTGGATTTGATGATCTTGGAGGTCTTTTCCAACCTGAATGATTCTGTGGTGGGGACGGGTTGGGGTTGGGCTTGGGGTCTTGGAGGTGCACCCATCCCGCCATGCTCATTCATTGAATCGTTAAGGTTGGAAAAGAACTCCAAGATCCCCAAGTCCAACCTCAACCCACCCCCATTGTGATCACTTGTAGAATCGTTCAGCCTGAAGAAGACCTCCAAGGTCTCCAAGTCCAAACCCAACCCATCCCCACCATGTCTCCCAGTGCCACATCTCCACGGTTCTGGAACACCTCCAGGGATGGTGATTTCCCCACCTCCCTGGGCAGCCTATTCCCAAATCCTGCCTCACTTGGGCTCCCCATGGGGACAGCGCTGGCTCTTGTCCCTGCATAGCTTTGCAAGCTCAAGGTTGGCATTGCCAGCGCAGGGACGGCCACCCCAGCGTCTGAGCTGCATTCAAAACCACCCCCCCAAGGAAAGTCCCCGCTGCAGCCCATTTACATGAGCAGGAAAGGCAGCGTCGTGCGTAGAGCAGCACTTCGCCATTTTTGGGTGCGGAGGTCGGAGGAACGCTGTGCAAAGGTTGGCACCTGGATGCTGTCCTGCTGCCCACAGCGAGAAGATGGGAGATTTCTGCAGGAGGCTGTGGGTGCTCCAGGCCAACCTCTGGCTGATGGCTGTGGCTGCAGGTAGGCACCAGCGTTTGGGCTCCGTGTTGCAGAGGGCCGTAGCGGTGAGGAAGCGCACGCAGTGCCACGCGTCCCTACGCTTTGTGCACCACGGGATTCCATCCAGACAACCACATCCAAGGGCATCTGCTTTAAACTCTGTGGTCACGCGTGAAGGTAGCCCATGGGTGTGGAGGGGTGGCGATGGGAGCTGGTGGGCAGCTGGAAGCAGCGGAGCTTTCATGGCCAAGGAGCAGAAAAAAAGGATTTTTTTCACCATTTTGGACCCTCAGAGATTAGAGTATGAGAAGAAGTCAGGCCAGCACAGTGCTGAAGCTGCAGCCAAGCCACCTTCCTTTGCTCTGTGAGCTTGAGCACCAAGGAGAAACGGGAGCAAAAAGACTTTTGGAGGTGGAACTGTTTGGGCTTTCCATCCCTGCAGAATCAGCGTTCCACCCCGGGATGTGACTCCTGCCCCCTTCCTCCCCCTCTTGCTCAGTGCAGGGAACCCCCAAGCCCTGCAGCAGCACCCACCCCATCTTCAGACTGGGGGTCCTTTCTTGGGGGTCTTTCCCCCAGAGGGCATCTGCTGGGTGCCCACCCGAGCCCTGCAGGGTTTGGGGTCACCAGCTTTCACTATGGCTCTTGGGGTGGCTTTGAGGGATTCGCTGCAACAGGGACTTTGGCTCTGGAGGCTCTGTGGGTTGCACAGTGAGGAATCAGTGGGGTTTGGCAGAGAGCAGATGGAGGTGGGCACTGAAGCGATGCAGTAAACAGAGCTGTGCTTCCTGCCCAGCTGCAGCAAGGGGAACCGGGGTGCCTGCGGTGCTGGGGGTCCCCAGCTTCAGTAGCAAAGGCAGGTTTGGGTGGGATGTCATCCAGAAAGCTGCTTACCTAGAGGAAATTCCGGAGATGGGATGGACGTAGAAGGGTTTGTGTCCGTATGTCCTGGGTGATGCTCCAAAGCACGCTGTCCCATATGGGGTGGACATGCACAGTACTTGTCATCCCATCCGGAATTTCTTATGTGTGTTTGTCCACATGGGCTTGTCATACATGGGTTTGTTCTACACAGACTTGTCCTACAACTCTTTGCACTATGTAGGCTTCTCCACATGGGTTTGTCCTCTATGGGTTTGTCCCACAAAGGCTTGTCCTACATAAGTTTCTCCTACGTGGGGTTGTCCTATATGGGTTTGTCCTTCATGAGTTTGTCTTACATGGTTTTGCCCTACAAAGGCTTGTCCTACATAAGTTTCTCCTACGTGGGGTTGTCCTATATGGGTTTGTCCTTCATGAGTTTGTCTTACATGGTTTTGCCCTACAGAGGTTCATACTATGTGGGTTTGTCCTACATGAGTTTGTCCTGCATGGGTTTGTCCTACATGTTCTTGCCTACACGGGTTTGTCTTACAAGGCTTTGTCCTACATGAGTTTGTCCTGCATGGGTTTGTCCTACAAAGGGTTGTCCACATGGGTTTGTCCTACAAAGGGTTGTCCACATGGGTTTGTCCTACATGGGTTTGTCCTACATGGGTTTGTCCTACACGGGCCCTCGTCCACTGTCTCAGGCCCCTTCTCCTATCCTACAGGTGGGATCCCAACAGACAGGAACAGCACCAGTAACAGCACAGGTAACACCTCCAGCCTGTCGGGCTCTTCCCCATGTCCCCACGGTGCCACCCCATGCCCGTCCCCAGCAGAGCTGGAGGTGCCCCAAAGCCCTTCCCCAGGCTGTGCCCTCCTCCACGGCACATCCCCAACCCCACATCAGCACAGCTGGATCCGCTTTGCCTCTCTGATAATTGGGCTGTAATTTGGGAGCACACTGGTCCTAACGAGGTGCAGAAAGAGAGGGGTGGGAGCACCAAGAAACCATCCCGTTCAAGCCGTTCCCATAGAAAACTATGAGTCTGCACTCAAAGCCTGCTGGCTTGCCGTGCCCACCCGTGTCCCCCGTAGGCAGCGGGTGCGTCGGGCTGTGGCAGCACCCACGTTACATGGCTGCCAAGAAGAACACACCCGTCCACTTCATCTGCTACACCCGTCAGCCCCACGCCATGCAGTGGTACAAAGCGTCGGCGGATGGAGAGGAGTTCCACGCGCTGGATCAGAGCTCCGATCGCTTCAGCATCAAGAATACAAACGACTACATCAACTTCACCATCTTCAGGATCAACTACGAGGACAACGGCATCTACGTGTGCGACAGCAAGAACTTCACAGAGGAGAAGAGGCAGCCACACTTGTGTGGGACAGAGCTCAGAGTCATGAGTGAGTGGGAGTCCCATCACTTCCATCACTTCACTTGGTTCTCCATTTCTTTTCACCTTTTTTCCCAACTCTGTAAACCTTACATCACGCTCCTGTGCACCCAGCTCTCCCTGTGCTGGACGCATGGTATGTGCCATCGTATCTGGGATGGCCTACATGGGTTTGTCCATGTGGATTTGTCCTTCGTGGGTTTGTCCACATGGATTTGTCCTTCATGGGTTTGTCCACATGGGTTTCAGATACAGCAGTGGGTGTTCCATCACACAGCAGGTGGCTCTTCGTATGTAGTCTGCCCATCCCATAGACACATCCCAGGGACTGTGTTCCTCACATAAACTGTTCTCCCTGCTCCTGGTCTTGCTCAGGACATCCCATAGTGGAGCTGGTCCCTGATGCCAGCCCCAGCAGGCTGCAATGCTGTCCCATTCCCATTCCCCTCCTCTCTGTGTCCCCACCCACTGGGAGCACAGCACAGAGAGGGGACTTGGGGTTTTCCCTGTGCTGCTGCTCCCAGGTCGCAGCAACATCCAGCAGATCCAGAACAGGAACACGCTGAAGGACACCATCATCATCATCCAGACCATCCTGCTGGTCATCTTCATCAGCGTCCCCATGCTCCTCTTCCTAGAAAAGGTGAGCGACAGCATCTCCAGTAGTGGGACTGTCCCTGGTCTTGGCACTGCCGTTCTCCCAGTGTTGTCCCATGTCCTGGGTGAGGCAGCAAGTGCAGAGATTGTGTTTGGGGCCATTGAATGGGAGCATTTCATGGGGTGTGCGGGACTGTCTATGGGAGCTGGGGAGCTGGCCTTGGGGCAGGGGATGGAGAACCCCACAGCACGCTGTGACACTCAGCCTGTGACTTTCTTCTCCACAGGGTGACGGAAAGGAAAGCCCTGAGGAAGACCACACCTATGAGGTAATGCTGCATGAGTGATAGAAATACCTCAACAAAATCAGCTTGACCCTTGGACTAGCCAGCTGTGCCCTCCTGGGTGTCTGCCACCAGCCCTTGTAGGGCACACGGGGCACGTTCATCCCCAGTGCATGATGCACGTTGGCCATAAAGGGCTGTGGATACAGGCCAAGCCAAGCTCTGTGCACGTTCACCCACCTATCACCATCTCCTCCCATCCCAGAAGCTGCCCTCTTCTCTGGGGGAACGCTCCAGGGATGGATCCCCACTGGGGGTTCCCTGTGTCCCAACCTCTTCCTTCTCGCTGCAGGGCCTGGAGGTGGAGCAGATTGCCACCTACGAGGACATCACTCCTTTCCGGGACATGAAGGCCAAATGGACAGTCGGGGAGCACCCAGGAGAGGAGTGAGGGGTGCTGCACCCACCACCAGGATGGCACCGGCAGCACCACCCCATGGCAGCACCACACTGGTGCCACCACGGACCTCCAAGGACTTGGTGCCACCACCTCCAGCTGCCTTGTACAGAGCTCAGGTCCTGCTGCCTCCCAGCTCATGCTTGGTCGCATCCAAGCTGTGCAAGCAAGGCTGTCCTGCCCTGGCTGCTGCCCATCCTGCCCCACTGCTGAACCCCAAAACCCTACATAGATAATAGGAACCAACCTCAGAGCCCAGCAGCCCCAAATGCCAGGCAGTCCCACACCACAGTGCTGAGCTGTGGCATGGTTAATGCCACCAAGGTGCTATGCTGGTGACCCCATGGACACACGCAATTCCCCCCCATGCTGCAAGGACCCTGCTGGGCTGTGAGACCCCCCCCACCAGCCCTGTGCTCCTGGTAGGGGAGCCGTGGAGAGCAGCACCATGGGGCCGGTAGATCTGGGGCCAGTGTGTTATCTCTCAAGCCACAGACATGTCCAGTTGGCCAAGCTGGAAGTTGACAAAGTTGGCTGTTGTCTGAGATGGAGGATCCTCCACAAGTGCCTTGTTTTATCCCATAGACTTGAGGAAAGACCAGGGAACAACAGGCACACAGAGGGCTTGCTCCTCTCCAGGCAGGAGCTGTGGCACAGGGCTGTCCCCCTGGTGAGGGACACCCTCAGAACCAATGGAAGGATGTAAATAGCGGGACGCAGACGTCCAACTGCTCTTTTAAGTCCTAATAAAGGTGATGGGTGAACTCCCACCTTGCACACCTGCAGGCATCCGAGCTGTGTTGCACCGTGCCCAGTCCTGGTGCTGGGGGTGTTGGGGATGGCAACGGGCTGAAGGTCCCTTGCAGGACAGCTGCACCGTGCAGCTCGCTGTGCCTCGGCCCTGAGGAGAAGCAGATGGGACTGTGCTGCTTCCTGAAACAGCCTGCGAAGACTGAGGGTAAACTGTGAGGAAACAGGGCTGCTCAGCAGGGAGAAACGAGCCCCGGCTCCCAAGCTGTGTGGGATTTCGGGAGGAGTGGGGCTCACCCCTCCATGCCATTTCCAGCGATGAAATGGAAGAGGAAGGAGAGCATTTCAGCCTTTCCAGTTCCCAACTGCTTTCTCTGCTCTGTGTAAACAACTCACCCAACCGACGGAACAGAGCCACGCAGACACACAGGACTGCAGCTTGCACCTGGAGAGGAAACCACTGGTGACCAAAGCAGTTTCGGTGACCCCAGTTCCGCTCTGCTGCCTGGCTGCTCTTAGCAGGGGCCTCAGCTTCCTTTGACATGTCAGAAGCAAATAAATATTTCTGCATTTCTGCATTATTTTAAACACTTAGATTAGCTTCTAGGAAGCAGAGAGAGGGGTTTTGTTGCAGTTTTATACTGAAATAGGTTTTATTTAAAGCGCAGCCGGTATAAATGGATGTGGGGTGGTGTGTACAGCCCAGGCTCTGTGATATTGCCTGGTTTGTATCCACCACTGGGGGATGGTTGGGCACACACACCTGCAGGGAACATTGCCTCCTCTGCCCAAACACTGCTGGGATGCTCACAGCAAAGCAAGAGGATGTGGAACCACCAGGGAAGGAAAGGGAGGGCGAAGGGGGAAGGGAAGATGGAAGGAGAAAAGGGAAGGGAAGGAAAAGAGTTCCTTCTTTCAAATAAGAAAAGGATTTTGGAGGATATTGTGCGTCATGCTGCTTTCTGACATGACCCTTTGGGTTGCACACGTGGGCACGTGAAAGGCAGAAGAATGCCAAGCTGATATTTGAGAGCTGCTTATGCAACTGTCATTGTGCCAGTGGCATGCAATCTCAGTCACACACCGCCTTCTGCCCCATTGAATGCAAGCCGGGGGGGAAACAGCCCTCTAGGGCAGTGCACAGTGTGGAACATGGCATCTCCTGACTGCAAGACGGAAAATGTTGGCTTTTCATGCCATGCTTTTACTTACAGAGCTGCAGGGGCAGCAGGGCAGCGGTGCTCAGTGCCGCAGCTGTGGCATCATTGCTAACGGCAGCAGAGCTGGGGTGCCTGCTGCTCTGCTCACCTCTGACAAACACGGACATATTTAAACACAGTCTGGAGCAGAAAAACACCCCCAGATGTTGCTGGCTATTGGGTGACCGGATACCTGATAGCTGCAGGACCCACTGTTCCCTCTCCTCTAGGGACTGACATTTACGCGCGCAAACACCGCGGGGCTTCTCGGAACAGCTCATTTATTAACGAGCTCTCACACCCTGTGCTCTGGTGATGATGCTGCTCTTGGAAATCAGAGACAAACCAGGGGCAGGTTGGACCCACAGCCAGGAGGCCAAAGTGCTGTCAGTGCCCTATGGGGAGTGAATCCCTCCTGCAGTTGTCCATCCCAGGTTCGGCCTCGTGTGGCTCAGGGATGGGCGTGCTGGGACTTCTGCTCTTCCCCTTCTTCTCTTCCTCCTTTCCACACCAGTCCTCTGCTTAATCCAGAGGTATCTCTCATTCCTACCAAGCAAAAGCAAAAAGCAGCTGACTGCCAGTTTTTTCTCATTCGTATCAAACAAGAGCAGAAGGCTCTGGGATCACTGGGATCACCAGACCCCAAAGCTTTGTCCAACTGAGGAGCTGAGAAACCTCCCAGAGCTCTGCCATTGGGTTCTGCAGTGGTCCAAATCCAAGCAAGCACTGCCTGTGAAGCTCTTCTGACAACATCCATCCTGCTCTAACCCCACTAAACGGGAAACCATCCCACCTGCTCTAAGCCAGAAGTCCCCTGCACTGCCCTGCCAGCCCTGGTAACCGTGGGGCAGAAAAAACAGGCAGGAAAACCAGGTGGATTTTCTACCTGTGTGGGAAATTCCCCTGTGTAAGCACAGAACAGATTTGGGATGGATTTTCCAATGGTGATAAAACCTCTGGTTGCAATAAACAGCAGAATATGAAGAAAAAGTTCAGCACTAATTTTATCCCCAGGCAAACATCCTCCCCAACCTTTCCATCTCCGTATAAATGACTAGAATGAGGTAGCACCATGGCGAGCGCATCTGCATTTATGCAAGGAGGGGATATGGAGAGGTGGCGGTGATCATGAACACCCCCATCCATTTTAAACAGACCCCCACTATATAAGGGGTGTCTCACCTGTTATCATCACCTGGATGAAAGGAGGAAACACTCAAGCAACACCCGAGCATCTCTCCTGGCGGGAATGGCTCCAGGTACTTTGCTTTATCTCAGATTTAATGGACTGCTGCATGCTTTGGGTGATGGGATATGATGTGGGGTGGTGCTGTGATGGGCTCTGAATTAAAACGTGGCAACTTACAGATCAGTGACAAAGGATATCTTTCCCTACAGCGCGACTTCATACCATGAACAGACTCGGGTAACCCTGAGCCTAACCTTGACAAGGGGCAGGAATGAGCTGCAGAATACAAAGAACAAAGCAAACCAGAGTTGTAATAGTTATTGCTATCATTGATGTTGCCAGGGATATTAAAACTCAATTCCAAGGCTTTAAACAGAGATCAGGATGATATCTAATCATAGACTCATAGAATGGCCTGGGTTGAAAAGCACTTCAAAGATAATAATGCAATCCCCCTGCACTTGTCCAAGTCCCGCAGGCTCCAGAGCATTCCTCCACCCAAGTTAACCTCCACTGAGATTAACTTTTGAAAGTGGACACTCGTGTGAGCTGGATGTCAAGGGTTAATAACCTTCAGGCTTGGCAGTGACCCCCAGATCCTAGAGGTGTGTCCCAGAGAGCCACAGCACAGGTAATGCAACCACTTCTCGTCCCAGTGAAGGCAGCAGCACGGTGCAAACAGAGCTCAGCTGAGCTGTTCCCAGTGCTCACCCAGTGCTCTCCATCCCATTTGCTCATGCACCAAAGAGCATCCCATGCTCTGCTCAGGAAGGTGAAACCTATCAAAAAACATGAGGGAAAATAAAGGGATGGGCTCCAGTTTTCATGGAGCAACAATGATTCCTGAGCCCCAAGGGTGAGGGGATGGGGTTTTACGGAGGGCTGCACTCACAGGCAGACACAACCCTGATCCCCAGGTGCCACCAAAGGACAGGTAACCCCTCTCCTCTCCACTCTGCTGCAGGCTTGTGGTTTTCTCCTCTCCTCATTGCTGTGGTCACGCTGGGACTGCCTCAGGGAGCTGCTGCCACCTTCCCTGCCATACCCCTCTCCAGCCTGTTTGCCAACGCTGTGCTGAGGGCTCAGCACCTCCACCTCCTGGCTGCTGAGACGTACAAAGAGTTCGTAAGTGTTGGCCATCTTGTTAGCTTGATGTTTCCAGGACATTCCATGGCTTTCCTCCCTGCATCAATTCCTGCAAGCAAAGACTTTTCAGCTGTCAGTGTCTCCCGAGGAGGAGAAAGGGTCTTAATGGGGTAGGACAGGTGATGACCGACCAGCCTGTCCTCCCCACAGCTCTCTGCCTCCTCCTGCAAGGAGTCACCTACTCCTGTCCATGTGTTTTGTGCTCACCTCAACCCTCTGCCTCAGTGAGAGCAGATCTGTGAGTCCAGGAGGTGTTGTGCCAACATGTGGGCTCCACTTTCCCACCTGCCAGTCCTGCACAGAGTTGCACATCATGTCCCACGTTTCCTTCTTGCAAAGAGCAACCTGCCAGGAAAGAGAGAGGAAAGAGTCCATGCTTTCTCTCATCACACAATCTGAGTGTTTGTGGGATGTCTCCGCAGGAACGCACCTATATTCCAGAGGACCAGAGGTACACCAACAAAAACTCCCAGGCTGCATTTTGTTACTCAGAAACCATCCCAGCTCCCACAGGGAAGGATGACGCCCAGCAGAAATCGGTGAGTTGTCTCCCCCAGGTACACACAGCACTGTTCTATGGAACAGAGGGTTTCCACGTGGCATCTCTCCTGAGATTCTTACTTTTCACACCCTGCGTGCAGAAAGACACGGGTTGGGCAATAAATCATATTCCCACCCTAAATAAAGCCTTAAAAAAAGGGACTCAAGTCTGAGTGGTGCTGCTCAGCTTACAGAGCTGCCTCTGGGCTGCTTCAGGGTGAGCAGGGCATGGAGCAGCACTACAGAACACCTCACCTGCGCAGCTCTGAAATCCTTTTGTAATTTCAGGACATGGAGCTGCTTCGGTTTTCACTGGTTCTCATCCAGTCCTGGCTGACCCCTGTGCAGTACCTAAGCAAGGTGTTCACAAACAATTTGGTTTTTGGCACCTCAGACAGAGTGTTTGAGAAACTAAAGGACCTGGAAGAAGGGATCCAAGCCCTGATGAGGGTAAGTCTGTATAGTGATGGAAGCCTGCATTCTAATATTTCTCTCTTACCTGACATTTAGATTAACACAGCGCCCAGACCACAGGCAGCTGGAGGCTGCTGTTCTTAATGCATTGGCACAGCTGCCCAGGGAGGTGGGGAGGTTCACCACCTCTGGAGGTGTCCCAAGAACGTGGGGATGTGACACTGAGGGATGTGGTTATGGGTATGGTGGGGGTGGGCTGGGGTTGGGCTTTGGGTCTTTCCAACCTGAACAACTCTATGATGAAGTTTCGCTTTGTTATTTTGAATGATGTTGCTTGTTGTCAGAATCCTTTCTTGGATGTGCTCAGTGTCAGCACAGCTAGAGACCCACATCTGTGCCACATGAGTATGGACAATTGTTTATATCTTATAGACCCTAAATAACTATAAGAGCCAGGCTTGGGAGCAAACAGACCCTCTGTCCTGACATTTTTGTTCAGAAAAGTTGTGGTGGCACTTCCCTGGAGGTCTCAAAGCCACAGATGGGGCCCTGGGCAGCCTGAGTTGGTGGGGGGCACCGAGCCCATGGAAGGGGGTGGGGGTGAGACTGGGGGGGCTTTGAGGTCCCTTCCAACCCAACCATCGTGTGATTCCATGGTTCTGTGATCTTCGAGGTCCCTTCCAACCCAATTATGCTGTGATCCGATGGTACTACGAACTTCAAGGTCTCTTCCAACCCAACCAGGCTGTGATTCCACAGTCCTGCAATGTTTGAGCTCCCTTCCAACCCAACCATGCCGTGATTCCACGGTTCTGTGAACATTAAGGTCCCTTCCAACCCAACCACGCTGTGATTCCACGACACTCCAGCTGCAGCTCCATCTGCAGCACCACTTCCAGATTTTGCTGTCCACTGATACGAGTGCAGGTGCTGAGAACCGATACCCAGAACACCTCCATCCCTTCCACACTGTTTACTCACCCCAAACAGTTCCGAGCCACGCGGGGCGAGCAGCAGCTGCAGATCACAGCTCCATGATGCCCAGGGCTGGGTCAGAGCCTTGTTCACTGTTAAAATAGGAGCAAAGACAGCCTCACTTTGCCAGCAGCCCCTCGCTCAGCCGCAGCCCTCTCACCCCGCAGGAGTTGGAGGATCGCAGCCCGCGGGGCCCGCAGCTCCTCAGACCCTCCTACGACAGGTTCGACATCCACCTGCGCAGCGAGGACGCCCTGCTGAAGAACTACGGCCTGCTGTCCTGCTTCAAGAAGGACCTGCACAAAGTGGAGACCTACCTGAAGGTGATGAAGTGCCGGCGCTTCGGGGAGAGCAACTGCAACATCTGAGGCTCTCCGTGCCGGCGCCGTGGCTGACAGCCCCATTCCTCCCCCCCCCTCCAACCACCCCATCACCAAAAACACAAGGAATAAAATCCCACAACGCTGAGCTTTGTTTGCTGGCTGCTGGTTGGGGATATAGGGAGGGTTTGGGGCGGGCTCAGGGCTGGGTAAAGGGGAGGGAGGAAGGGGGGACCGGGCATGGCGGAGGTGCTGGAGTTCCGGGTGCCTGCGGGGAGCGCGCAGACATTGCTGGTGTGGGGGCTGGAGCCAGAGCCGGGCCTGGAGGTGGGCATGGGGATGGGGGTAAGGGGTGGGGGTGGGGTTGGAGCCTGGGGATGGG